TCTTCATACATTATAATCTGTTCTTGGTGATTTTAGTGGATCTAGAGCTCAATCCCTTTGTGTGGATGCTCAACGGGTGAGTAGGCCTAAGGTTGAACATTCGGACCCATTCTGGGTAAAAAATCCTTTGTATTGTTTCTTTATTTCTTGCATTTTTACTTAGTTTTTATGTTCTTTGTGAACTTTGGGACCAACAATTTTTGTGGTCTTCGTTGATGAAGAACTGGAACTCAATTCGTGGTCTTAGTTGATGAAGAAAAGGGAAAAATGTTTCAAGACGATAACCTTTCATTTTGAGAAAAAAAATTGACTATACGCATTCACTTAACAAAGAAGTTGGATGAAAATGGACGGAAGGATGTTTTATGCAATCAAAGGCGTAAATAAAGATGAAAATGTAAAAAACAAAATGAAAGGTATGGACGTTTTGCACAATAATAATAAAAGGGCAACATACAAAAATACTCTTAAAATTAGGGGTCCTTTGAAAACTCATATGAAAAGTATTTTGAAAGTAAAAATACTTCGTAAAATTAGTTGTCACTTTTTTTATTAAAAGGTGACACAATATCACTTTTTTATTTGTCACTTTTTAACACAAAATAATACATACAATATCACTTTTATTAAAAAGTGACGTTTGTCACTAAAAAAAGTAACAGAACAAAGTGACAAACATTAAAAAAATTGACAAAAATTCAAAAAAAGTGACAAACATTCGAAAAAGTTACAGAAATTCAAAAAAGTGACAAAAGACTCAAAAAATGACAAAAATAAAAAATAAAAAAATGACAAAACGTCAATTAAAACAATGGAATCAGTTCAATAAAGTGACACGATCACTGTCCCTCTTCTTTCTCCATTCGCTGCCAAAAATTTGTAAATTAGTTCACTAACAAAATACCAATCAATACGCCAAGCAACGTTTAGTCAATTCACCGTCACCATCATTTACCAACTCAACCAACCCATTAATCATATAAAAAGTTTTTTTAAAGTAAAAAAAAATACTGTATAGAGTTAAGTGTCACATTTTTATTTAAAAATGACATACAATTTCAATTTTATTAAAATTGATGTTTGTCACTCAAAAAAGTGACAATTTTCAAAAAAGTGACAGAAATTTAAAAAAGTGCCGAAAATTCAAGAAAGCGACAAATTACATTCGCGTTAATAATTCAACATTCCACAAAAGGGGAATGTGAACGTAGTCAACCATAGAAATCTTTGTTAATGATTTTCAGACTA